GGCAGTGGGAGCAGGGCTGTGTGTGTGGCTCATCTCCGAATCCCCAGCACCTGCACTGTGCCTGGCCTAGAGGACCCTCTATAGCAGCAGTCACCAACCTTTTGGACCTCATGGACTACCAGTGGTCTGTGGACCACCGGTTGCCGATCGCTGCTCTACAGATATATTAAATGAATCAATGGATGAGAGTAAGGAAGGGAGGGAGGAAGGAAGGAAGGAAGGAAGGAAGGAAGGAAGGAAGGAAGGAAGGAAGGAAGGAAGGAAGGACTCGTTGATACCAGAAGAATGGTTTCTGAGCTGAAAGAGTCCCAGTGTGATGTGGTAGTGGGGGATTCCTGGAGTGGAGAGAAGGTTCCAGACCCCCCACATTGCAGAACCAAAGAGCAACCAACCCTGGTGCTTCAGGAAGCTTTCTACTACAAATGCTCCTCTCTGTCTCCCCTTAGAGTTAACCACTCTTGTCCTACTGTCCCAAATCCCTTCACAAGGACACCAAGTCACTCCTCCAGCATCCTATTTCAGATGACAGCTCTCCAAGTATGAGCCATGGCCCATGTGGCCCACAGCGATCCTCACAGCAGGCAGAAGATGGATCCAAAACTTGGTAATGCCCTGAACCATGGACTTCTAACCCCCATCATGAAGGCTGCTTTACCGCTAATCATAAGAGAGTTGCGAAAAGGGATACGAACATTGAACACTGCCATCATTATTTTATTGCTTTCCAATTCTCTCTTACCACTGAGTTCTTCTCCAAGGGGAAAGTGGAAACAGCTTAGGGCTTTGTACACCCCTCTGCGAGCTGCAGTAAAAGTGTTTTGGAGGGGGTATTCCACAAAGCAGTGCCCAAACCAAGTGAGAATGGAGCCATCCTTCAGGCCTGGGAAAAGGCGTTCCTCCTACTGCTACGAATATGACTGTGAGACAACCCAACCTTCCGGGACTGTGTGGGAATTTTTGCTACCATATGTTATTTATGTTACTTATATGCAAACTTACATACAAATATACATAAATATCCATACACATATATATATGCATGCACAGGCTGGGAATATTTTTGGACTATATCACACGAAATAACAGTAATTGCCTTTGAGAAAGTACTGGAAACCACCAGTGATATTTAGACAATATATCTTCTTATACCTTTTGAAACACCCTATGTTCATACATAACCTTTTTTAACCTTCTAATAAAAAATTTAAAAATTAACCTCAGTCAATGAGGTGATTAATCAAGCTGACTATGGCTATCTTTGCTTAATACCTATCTCTGACTATAACTATGGACCAAATGCAATTGAGATTTAAAAAGTGATCATTTAAAAAGTGTCCTCAAGGACATTTTTTTTTTTTTTTTACTGAGCACCATAATTTTTGGAGAAAATAATATCAGCAATATATTTTGCCTCTACAGGCATTTTTAGAATTGTGACATTAATATTTCAGATAACAGACAAAAAAATCTCATATAAAAACAGAACATCCCCATTTGAATCTTTCTTATGTGTACTCAGTTGAATCACAAACTGTGCTTCTGCCAAAAAAAGAAAAGACAATTGAGGTGAGAATTCTAGGAAGATGGCAGAGCAGGAAACACAGGAATCCATCTCCCTACCTACACAACAATTGTACAAGCAGAATCTGTCTGATTTTGGAATTCTGGAGTTTACTGAAGGTTTGGACAGTAAATTGTGATTAATTTCAATTCTTAGCATGGTGGCAGCTACCCACCTTCCACCCAAGCCCTGAGGGAGGAAGCTGTGCACTGTTCTTGGAGCACCTGCACACAGCTTGTGGGAGCCAGGATAGGCAATAAGGACCCAGCCCCACCCCCTCCCCCCAATATCGAAGCTGGTTCTGATCACCGATTGCTGTTTCTGGTCAGTGAGGTACCATTGTTGTTTCACCCAACCCCACCCTCCATTGATACAAGCTCCTCCCCCTCTGGCTGAAGGGACTTCCAGGGGACTTAAAGGGCTAATGCCCTTCCCCCTTCATTTTTCTCTATTTCCCCTTAAAGATTAGGACATTCAAAAGCAACTGCATGTTTGGGGAAAATTAGAAAGTGACTGAACGTGCCCAGGGAAAGCTGCCGGCTCAGAAAGGACCTGAGAGGATCTATATTCACACCTGGTCCTGGGCACAGAGACAGCCTGCAGCAACCAGAAAATCAAAACAATAAACAGAGGCAATGACAATAAACACTACACCCTTGGAAAAGAGAAGAATCTGATTTCCAGAGTTACCTCATTACTGTATTAGATTCAGAAGTCTAGTTTTTAACCAAAAAAAAAAAAAAAAAAAAAAAAAAATCACAAGGCATTCAAAAATAAATAAATCGGCAGAAACTGTTCCTGAAAAAGACCTGATAGCAGAACTACTTGACAGAAACTTTAAAACAACTGTCTTATAGATGCTTGAAGAACTGAAGGAAGATGTGGAAAAAGTCAAGAAAATGATATATGAATGAAATTGAAATATCAGTGAGGAAACAAAAAACTCAGAAAGAAACCAAACCGAAATTCTGGAACTAAAAAGTACAATAGCTGAAATTTAAAATTCACTAAAAGGATTCAAAGGCATATTTTAACAAACAGAAGAATCAGCAAATTTGAACGTAAGACAATGAAAAGTATTGAGGCCAAGGAACAGAAAGGAAAAAGATTGAAGAAAATTGAACAGAAACTAAGGGACCTGTGGTAAACTCTGAAGCCAGTCAACTTATGCTTTGTGGGAGTCCCAGAAGGAGAAGAGAGAAAAGGGCAGAGAGAATATTTGAAGTAATACTAGCTGAAGTAATCCTAAGTCTGATGAAAGACATGAATATAAACATCAAAGTCTCTCAATAAATTCCAAGTAGGATGAACTCAAAGAGACCCATACCAAGACACAAATAAACTTTTTAAAGACAAAGAAATAATCTTGAAAGCAGCAAGAGAGAAGCAACTCAGTGGACAAAGGATACTCAGGAAGATAATTTTAGAGGCCAGAAGCCAATGAGACAATATATTCAAAGCACTAAAAGAAAAAAAAGTAGTCAGTTGGGAATCCTATATCAGCACCACTATCCAATCCTACAAGAATAAGGGAGAAATTAAAACATTCCCAGATAAACAAAAGCTGAGGGAGATCATTACCACTAGACCCACTCTGTAAGAAGTACTCAAGGGAGTCCTTCAGGGTGAAATGAAATGACATTGGACAGTGAAGAAATTAAGACCTCAGTAAAGGCAAATGCACAGGGAGAGTGACGTCAGCATCGCAGCAGCACAAGACACTCCTTGCTTGGTCCCCACCTCACACAAAAATTCCGCATCCATCCATGAACAGAAGTGCCTCTGTGGGAGTTGAGGGATCCAGCACCATACACCAAGGGACCCAAGAGCAATGGGTCCCCTTTGTACATCAGGTAATAGGCAGACAGACCTCAGTACTGGCAGTGGAGCCTGCAGGACCTGTGAACTGGCTCCAGCCCCTGTTGGCCATGGCCCACGAGCATCTGGAGAATTCTGACTAAGGCAGTCTCCCACAGATGAGACGGCCTTTGTGGAAGTCCAGGCTTTGAGAGGAGAAGTTCCAGTACTCCATTGGAGCAAAACAAATAAAAGTTTGGATGCATTGGAGTGGGCAATTAGTAACTATTGGAGGGCTTGGGACAAGGCAACTACATGAAAAAAAAAAAAAAAAAGTCCAGAGATCAGTAGTAACATTTAAACTAATAAAACTCCTAATACTAATGACAATGACAAATGGATAACTTTTTCTAAATGTTCTCTATGTGTGATGCATTAAGCTAAGCACTTTTTATATGTGCCATTTAATTTAACCCACAAATATCCCTGTCGTTCATGGTAGGAATGGTTATCCTTGGAGAAACTGAGGCCCATAGAGGTGAAGCAACTTGTGTGGATTGCTCCAGCTCACAAGTAACCAAGCTTGGCTTGGAACTCAAATCGTCTGATTCTAAGAGGCAGGTCAAGAGAATCGGGGGCCTATTTGTGGGAGAGCAGACAAGACTGTTTCTTTGGAGGGTGTTCGGGGTGTCGGGGAGGCAAGATAGACAGGGATGAATTTGTTTATAACCTTGGGTGCCAGATATGGAAGTCTGGTCTTCATTCTGGGACAGTTTAGAGGCAGGAAGGGGCTTGGGTTTAGGACAAGACCCTTGGGTGCAGGGAGGAGAAGCGAGGAGGAGGGAGATGAGGCCTGGTTGGAGGCTGCCTCGAGAGCTGAGACCAGGGGGGAGGGGGTCTGTACTTGTGTGGGCGGGGGAGTTGAAGACAGATGGGGAGCTGGAACCTGTGAGATGTGATGACTGAGGTGGTTCTGGGACTTCCCACTTGGAGGGGGGAGGGGAAGGCGCTGAGCAATGAGTGAGGAAGGACCTCTAGCCCAGCGGTTCTCAACCTGTGGGTCGCGACCCCTTTGGCGGTCGAACGACCCTTTCACAGGGGTCGCCTAAGACCATCCTGCATATCAGATATTTACATTACGATTCATAACAGTAGCAATATTACAGTTATGAAGTAGCAACGAAAATAATTTTATGGTTGGGTCACAACATGAGGAACTGTATTTAAAGGGCCAGAAGGTTGAGAACCACTGCGCTAGCCTATCTCGATGAGAAGGCAAGCGCTGGTGACACACAGATGTGGGTCTGGGTCCCGGTTCTGCCATGCAGCAGCTGTTTGACCTCAGGTGGGTTCCTAGTCCTCTTTGAACCGCTGTCAGGTGGGGTGTACACCCACCTCCTCCACCAGCCCGGGGCAAGGACCAGATGAGACAAGTTTCTCTTGGAGTGCTTGATAAATGGTAACCACCTGCACCTCAGTTTCCCTTCTCTAGACTCTCACAAGCCCCTCAGCGTGTGACCCGCCTTCTAGGAACTGAACTGACCCCGCCAGGTTATTGTGTAAACACAAAAACTAGCACATTCTTGGATGGGGAGAGAAAAACAAACTCGTGCCAAAGTTCAAAGTACTGCTGTGGGCTTACTTTAAGACCGTCCTTCTGGTAACTCTGGGAGATACAGTCCAGGACACCTTTGTATTTGTTTATATAAACCCCATCAGCCTGGAGTCGACTTTTCACAACATCCATAGGAGTCGCTGTCCCCCAAGAAATTGCTCCTGTAAAGAGAGAGACAAACAGGAGTCAGGGGCTGGCTGGTTGGGGTCTGGAGGGGACCCTGCAGCTTCCTGCCACTCAGAAGCTTAGTCATCTGCTGAGGGAAGTGGAAAAGTTCAGGGTCGGGGCCCGTAAGGGCTGTTCCTGAGCCTCCCTTGAGACTTGCTGTGGGACTTCACAGAATTATCCTACCCTGCGGGCCTTGGTTTGTCATCTGTAAAATGGGGCAGCAGTACCTGTCTTCATGGGGTTGCTATGAGGATAAATAAACAGATGCATGTGAGGCATTTAGTGCAGTGCCAGGCGCATAGCCAGTGCTTCGTAGGCGGAAGCCTTTCTTAGCAGCTTTTATTGGAGAAACAGGAACAGGCTCACCAGTGCTTGCAGCACCTTTCCAGGCCCCAGGGGAGGCCCAGGCTGAGTCTGAGGAGGAGGGCTCACAGCTCCCCAGAGGCAGGATCTACCCTGAACACACAGAAGCTAAACAAGCACTGGCCAGCCTGGGGATTGGAAAGAAAAGCAGGAGCAGGTCTTTGGAAAGCTCTTATCTCTTCCAGGTATTTGGAATAAAAGTCTTAGGACCTCACGCCCTGGCTCATCCTGGTTGGATATGCTCAGGTGCGCTGGTTTGGGCGCTTTTGTGACTTTCAGGGACTCTGGGAAAACAACACCGGGTTATTGTGTAAACACAAAAACTAGCACATTCTTGGATGGGGAGAGAAAAACAAACCTGTGCCAAAGTTCAGGGCAGCTGGTTTGCAAGTTTTGTAATTGCTGCCAAGAGGCTCCCCAAAGAGGCCTTTGCCTGCCCCAAACTCGGCTCATCCCGGCCTCCCTCCAGCCCCTGTGGCCACGGTATCAGGGCGCCCTCTGCACCTCTCTTTTCTGCCTCAGGTCAGGATAACTGGCCACTCCCCCTGGCACACTCCCTGTCCCTCAGCCCAAGGGCAAGGGTACTACAGATGGAGGTTCCCCTGCCAGGCCACTCACACCTGCTCTCACCAGAAATGAGAGCAGGTGGGGCTTTGTTTGTCCTCAGCCAGCTTCCTGAGCACATACTAGGAGTGGCCAGCCTCAGGCAGTGGGGCGGTCCGGGCGGTGGGAGTGAGGGAAAACACTGGTGTTTGGGCTTTGTTATGTGCTGGCAGAGTTTCACACACAGCTCATTATGATGAGGAGAAAAGACAATTTTCTTCTCTCCGCAGCAAAGGCCATGTTATCAGCCTCTTAAAAAGCATTCTCCATGTTCAATATTGACCAATGTCACTCCAATTCATTTAATAAATAAATAAAAGCATTCTCTCCTGACTCCCACGCCCCTCTAGCTATGCTGCACTTCTCTCTGCCCTGGTAGAGCACAGTCAAGTCCCTCCCAGGTGCTGGGTTCTCCAATTTCCTTTATCCCACCCTCTCAATCCCACTCCAGTCAGGTTGCCACACCTTCTCTTGACCAAAATGGGGCTTGTCAAAGTGCCTGGTGGCCTATATACCTCGCAGAGGTCCTTGGTGGGAAAGAGACAGGGCAGCCCACAGCACAAAGACCAGTGGGGCTGGAGCCCAGCAAGCGGACCCAGGAGCAGAGAATGAGTGCAGACGGGTAACAGGCAGCCCGGTCGCAGAGGGCCTTAAACACCGCTGCAAGGACACGGACTTCTACCCTACGTGACAGGGGGATGCAGTGTGAGTTCTGAGTAGGGAGGTTAAGTTCTGGTCCATGGTCATGAAATGAGTAAGTGGGGATTTGCACTTGGATCTTTCTGAGGCAGAGTCCCTGCTGAGGTCTGCACGGGCTGTGTGACCTTGGGTTGGCCACTTAATTTCTCTGAATCTGAACTTTCTCATCCTAAAAAACGGGGAGACTGATTCCTACCTTCTGGAGGTAATGAAATCCCCACACGAGGAAGGTTTATAGTGTGCCAATATTAAAATATGGTGAACCGTAATAACCAATTTCCTTTGAAAAGCTCAGTAATAAAGTGCTCAAAATGTATCTTCTGACTGAAAGTTCAATGAGCCCAAATAGGGACTTGCCATCCCCACAGGTCCAGTGGAGAGGAGATGGAAGAAAGGGAGGACCATTCTGCATTCCTAGTCCTTTCTCTGGCACATAGTAAGTACAGTGGGGCTTTGACTTACGAGTGTCCCGACTAACAAATTTTTCGAGATACGAGCCGTCTCTCGGCCGATTTTTTGCTTTGAGTTGCGACCTAAAATTCGGGTTACAAGCCAGCTTCAGATACCCCACTGCTAGTTGGCACAGCGAACGTCACAGTGAACGCCACAACATCAGCCCAGCATCATGTGTCTCACTTGTTCACTGTTGATTTGACATACGAGTAATTTGAGTATCGAGCTCCGTCACGGAACGAATTAAACTCGTAAGTCAAGGCCCCACTGTATTTAACATGGAATTGTTGGATGAGGGAAGAGTAGGGCATGGTAGGCCCCCCAACTGTCCCACTGCGGTGGCCAGCACAGGGACAGGTATCAACACTGCTCTCTTACCTGCCACGCCACCTGCCAGCCATACAGCATAGGGGCTGGGGTCTGCACAGGCTTCAGGTGTGAACCAGTTGGTCAGGAACACATACGGAACAAAGTAGAGGCAATAGCCCGGGACGTCCCTCAGCATCATGGCACCGGCACCCCGGTATAGCCCCGCCAGGCCCTCAGTCCGCACGATGGTTGCAATGCAATGCACAGGCCCCTGGTAGGCTGGCTGCTCCCCGAGAGCCACTGCCCTGTTCTTCAAACTGAGGCTGGCTGCAAAGACAGGGCAGGCAAGATAACAAGTGACCCAGGGGGCAAGAGACTGGCCATTCTCTGGCACTAGAGCCAGCCCAGCCCACTGACAATTCCCTCTCAGGTGGCCCACTGGATTTTACCAAACCTCTGACCTTCTTGGCAGCTCAAACCAGGATTCTGGAATCCCAACAGAGAGCCCTGCCAACATGAGCAGCCAGACTGGAGACAATCTATCCAGGTGATAAAGTACCAGTTGCCTTAGAATGTTCAGGGGCTGCTGGTCAACCATCACTATGTCTCTCTAACAGATGTGACTGTAGAATGCCTAGGATCAACTATGAGAAGGCATACCAAGCTCTTTCTTGAATCAGAGACTGGAAAATGCAGCACATTATGCGTGTGTATGTGTGTGTGTGCGCATGCATGTGTGTGTGTCCGTGTGTGTACTTGTGGTAAAAAAGTACACGAGTCCTGGCTGAGTGGTTCAGTTGGTTGGAGCTTCGTCCTGTACACCAAAAGGTTGTGGGTTTGATTCCTGGTCAGGGCACATACCTAGGTTGTGGTCTGACCCCAAGTTGGGGCATGGATGGAAGGCAACTAATCAGTGTTTTTCTCTCTCTCTCTTTCTCTTTTCTAAAAAATCATTAAAAAGCATATTTCTTAAAAAGTACATGAGATTTGGACCCACTTCCAAATCCTGGCCCCACCACTTACAAATATTAGGTCCTTGATAGGCCACCCTTTCCAGCCTTTGTTTCCTTATCTTTATAAAGAAGACAGTATTGTACCCTTTATACAGAATACAATACTGTATTGTATATTGAAAGTTGCTAAGAGAGATTTTAAAAGTTCCCACCATATACACACCCACAAAATGGTAACTGTGTGAGGTGATGGGCGTGTTAACTAACCTAAACTTGGTAATCATTTGCACTATACACATATATCAAATCACATTGTATACCTTAAATTCACACAATGTTTACATTAATTATCAATAAAGCTGAAAAACATTTGTTCATAAAAGAAAAGGAGCACAGACTTTGTGAGTATAAATAAGGCAGTAACTATAAAGTTCCCAGCACAGTTCTAGGAACATCGTGGAGGTGCCGTAGATGGCCGACAGGTTATTACTAAGACCGAGGTTGACTGGCACACAGCAGGTGCAGGCTGTGCCGGCTGGAGGGCTGGACAGTGCTCCCTGGTGCCATTGGCCCCTCCAAGACCAGGGTGCAGGGCTGCTGTCTCCTTGTCTGACTTCCAGGGTCAGGTCACAGGTTGTATGTCTAGCTTCTTCTAGGGGTGTGCGTAGCCACCAAGCAGTGACTCTGGCTCTCAGATTTAATCCTTCCACCGGCTCCCCCGGCTCCATCTCTGATGTTCATCTCCTCTGCACATGGACCCTTTAGCACAGCTTTGACTCATGGCCAGAGAGACCTCCCTGTCCCCATGCAGGTAAAGCAGACTTAGTCTCAACTTGTTCCTATCTTAAAGAACTACCATGACATGCCTAGGAAGGAAGCTTGCCTATTTTGCCACCATGCCTATTTTGCCACCGGGGTTTAACTCCCAGAATGCACCATTTCTGATTTTCCACACCTGGCAAAGAGGAACATCAGTTTCATTATACAGTTGAACTTCCAAGTTCCCCAAATAGTTCCATCTTTATTAGAGGAAAGGTCAGGACAAGACATTCGGCTCCATGGTGCCATGGTCCAAACTGGAGATTTGGGGGTAAAGTGCAACCTGTCCTTTCACGCATCCCAGAGTAAGTGAGGTCAAGGAGAAGGTTTCCATTTTCCTAGGAAATGTGCTTGAAAAAACTAATCCTGCATTTTCCTTTTGTGGGGTGGGGAGTGGGGACGAGCACCCACAGCCACCCATGTTCAGACAACTGCAGTGTGGGCAGGAGACTGAGTCCCACTCACTTCTACAGCCGATCCCACAGGAAGTGAGTTACTTTTAGTGGCCACTTTTGGAGGGCACAGGGCCCTCTGAGCTCAGAGCAAGATCAGACACTGTGATCTTTTAAAGCCCACTGAGACGTCACTGGACACCCCTTCCTCTCCCAAATCTACTATAACATGGCTGGGGTCATCCGGGGATATTTTGGCATGAGGCAAACTAGATGCAATTGTCCCGACATAAAGTTTGCCTGGCCACTCAAGTCCAAGTGCAGTGATCTGAGTAAAAGTTTTAATGAATCAGCGATGGAAATGAGGTGGCTTTCTGAAGTTACTGATTGAAGGAGCGCGCCTGATAACATCCTGCTGATTCAGAGGATGGATGTTGAAAACAGTATTTGCCCAAACCTCCAACTGGCCCTGGGGATAGAGAACCTGAACTTTCCTTTTCTTTCCAGAGTGAGCAATAAGGAAATCCTCCCCAGTTCTCCCAGTTTGTTACACAAGCAATCTAGCTTTTATTGCTTGAGTATGATCCACTTATGACTATTACAGCAGTAAAATTGCCATGGTGATGACCATCATCTGAATACTGACTCGAGCCTGAACTGGCGGCCAGTGCCTTCTGGGCACAAGTTGATACTATGAAGGCCTTGGGACTCCACCGGACTCCCTCATCCCCATGTAATAACAAGTGTTGTTTAAAAAAAACAAAAGACTTATTTGAAAAAAAAAGACAAAAAAGAAAAAAATTGTATAAAGAACACCCTTAATATTCACTATCCAGATTCGCCTGTTGTTAACATTTATTTTATGGTTTGCGCACTCTCCTCCCCTACCCCTTCTCCCTCAAACATGCGCATGCAATGACTGAGCAGCTGCCACTGTCCCCGTGCCTAAACCTGTCTGGGCTGTTCTTCTCCAGGCAACAGTGACCTGACCTGGGGTCAAGGTTTCACATGTCAGCTATGGGTATGATGTGGGTTTCAGGACTTACAGATTGGAGGGCAGTATCTGATAAGGTCCTCCTTGTCTGAAGGTGTCAATGTTGGGAAAACACTTGCCAAACCTTGAACCAGCCTTGTGAACAAGACCCAAACCTGCACTTCTTTTCGTTTTCCCCAAGGTAAGCAATAGGAAATTCTTTATATATGCATGCATATATAATTTTATATTCTGAACCATTTTAGGGTGAATTATATACAAAATGGCCCTTTACCCTTAAATACTTCATGTATTTTCTATGGTATGTAGGGTGTTGTCTTACATACCATAGTGCAGTTATTGGTTTCATAAGCTACGTTGACAATACTGTTATCTAATGTGCCGTCTATGTTCACATTGTCATTTGACCTCATAATGACCTTTATAGGATCCCTCTCCTTCCCCAGCACAGAATCCAGTCTACTCAGGTGTTGCATTTAGTCATCATGTCTCCTTAGCTTCCTTTAATCTGGAGCCTTTCCACAACCTTTCTTTGTCTTTATGACACTGACATTTTTTTGAGAACTCACCGCCTCCCTTCTTGTAAACAGAACTTTCCTCATTTGGGGTTTGTTTGATGTTTCCTTGTTATTGTGTTGAGGTTATGAGTTCCTGGCCCAGCCTCCTCTCCATTCTCACTTCTTTTCCCCTGAAGAGTAATAACTTTCAAGAGCCTTCTCTGCCCTCCTATGCTTGTTTTGCAGTTTGTTTGGGGTTTTTTTGTTTTGTTTGTTTGTTTTTAAATATATTTTATTGATTTTTTTACAGAGAGGAAGGGAGATGGAAAGAGAGTTAGAAACATCTATGAGAGAGAAACATCGACCAGCTGCCTCCTGCACACCCCCTACTGGGGATGTGCCCACAACCAAGGTACATGCCCTTGACCGGAATCGAACCTGGGACCCTTGAGTCCGCAGGCCGACGCTCTATCCACTGAGCCAAACCGGTTAGGGCTGTTTTTTAATTGAGGTATACTTTACATTCAATTAAAGGTATAGCTACTAAGTGCACAAAAGGAGAGTTTTGACAAGGGTCGCTACACCCTACTGAGAAGATGACATCTTATACTTAAACTATTTTGGTTTCAGCCCACTCAGGCAGTGCAAAAATTCCAGATCTACCTACCCTCTCCCGCTTTTCAAGGTGAAGAACTCTGCCCATCCACATCACTCAATGAGAAGAAGCATAGCTTTCTTTTAGGCGATGGTCGTTCAGGCCCATCTGCATTAGCAGTAGTGGTATGGACGATTCATCTGGGACCACAAAGCAGAAACTGCTATCAGTTGCTCAGAACACAAGATGCTCTGTGGCTGGGGCAGGGAGGTGTGGCCCTGAGAGGTAAAACCAGGGAGCCTTGACAGCTAGACACAGAAAAGCACTGAGTGAGAGTTCTGGGTAACACTAGCAGTGGACCAATTTTAGTTTGTGAAAAACGAATTTTGATCCCTAAAAACTGACTTGGGAGGTTGCTGGCAAGCAGTTCTTAGAAATATGCACAACGGAATTCCATGGCCTCCCCTGTCATTCCTGCAAGGACCCCGAGGAAGGAGGCCAGGTGCTGAAGCAGTGCCATGTGTCTTCACTTAACACCAACGATAGCCCGGCCAGCGTGGCTCAGTGGTTGAGCGTCGACCTATGAACCAGGAGGTCATAGTTCGATTCCTGATCAGGGCATGTGCCTGGTTTATAGGCTTGATCCCCAGTGGGAACATGCAGGAGGCAGTCAATCAATGATGCTCTCTCATGATTGATGCTTCTACCTCTCTCTCCCTCTCCCTTCTTCTCTGAAATCAATAAAAACATTAAAAATTAAAATTAAAAAACAAAACACCATAGATAGACTCTAAGCAAAATGATATGTAAAGAAACTACTTTACCACAAGCTAATTGATATAAACAAGAGTTAAGTTCCGACAGCAAGTTTCTGGTCACAAAAACTTCTTCAAACTTCTAAATAAGTAATCAAAACACTTCTAATATTAAACATTGAAATAAATGCGAGCTATATGCACATTTAAGAAAGATTCATAGAAAACAAGAAAAAGAATTATTTTCCAACCCGTTTATTCCAATTCAGGATTTCAGGTGGCCAGAGCCTCTCCTAGCAGCTCAGGGTGTGGCATGACCCAC